TTTTCTCCATTAGCATGTTGATGATTTTTATTTTGAACTCCCTTTCAGGAAGAGTCACGAGGTCCATAACATTTAAATCTTTCTCGGGAGTTGTATTAATAATTTTACTCTGGACCAGGTTTCTTTGACGTTTCATATTTGTATATGGTGCCCTCTAGTGTCCAGAAGCTCTATTCTGGAGCTGCTCAGCCCCTGAAGCAATGTTGGGGGTCACAGGGGAGCAGTATTGGTGCCTGGGGGGAGGAAAGAGCTGTTCCCTGCTTCCCTGGCTGCTGTGCCTGTCTCCACTGCCTGACCCAGTGGGCTGATCACACAGATAGAAGCTTTTGTCCCAGAGCAGCCGGATGTGGATCCCTGCTTTCCACAAGCAGCCGGAATCCCAGTCTTTCCAGAAACTCCGCCTGTCCCAGCTTTCCAACCCCGTAATCAGAAGAGTATGATGAAAGCACCATGAAATGTAGGTTTGTGCTCCCAGCGCAGATCTCCAGAGCTAGGTATTCAGCAGTCCCAAGCCTTCCACCCCCTCCCTGCTCCGTTTGTCTTCCTCCCACCGGTGAGCTAGGGTGGGGGAAGGGCTCAGGTCCCACGAAGCCACAGCTCTGGTACGTTACCCCGTTCGGTGAGGTCTGCTCTTTTCTCCAGGTGTGTGCAGTCTGACACCATCCTCTTTCCTGTTGCTCTCTCAGGATTAGTTGCGCCAACTATATTTTCTAATTGTATCCAGTTTTAGGAGGAAGCCTCTGTCTCTCTTATGCTGCCATCTTTAATCCTCAAAGCTGGTTATTTTTGCTGGAACAGTTATCAGGTGGGCAGATGGCATGAAGCCTGTCACCCACATTCATTTCTGAACATGCATGAACCACCCCAGGATGGGTGGCAGCCACTGATGAGCCCACAGAAGTGGAGCAGAAGTGGGCCTGGCTTTTAAGATCACTCAGCTCCTTGTATTAGGAAACCTACAGTTTGCTTCTTCCTGCCAAATGTCTTGGCCATTTTTTATGTGCAAGTCACTGTGCCAAGCACTGTGCTGGAACAGGAAGACACTCAGAGAGAGACTGCATGCTAGTAGGGGGAGCGAATCTGTTTGCATTTAATACAAGGCAACGTGTGATAAATGTCATGCAAGATGTTCATAAAGTGTGCCAGGGAATTTTAGAGGAGAGATAAATGACCTTTGGCTTAGAACAGTGGGGGAAAAAATGCTTCATAAAGAAGGTGGCATTGAAAAACCTGGAAGGTAAGGGAGTATCTGCATATGCTGAAATGAGGCAGAGGGCATGCTAGGCTGAGGCAATAGAGCAAAGGCCTGGAGGCTGAGAAAACCGTGCATCTGGAAGGAATAAGTAGATCAAGTTAAGAACATAATTTGGGCCCTAACTGTTGAGGGAACTGAATTTCTAGCAAAGCAGTTTCATTTTATTCAGTATGTATGTATTATTATTTAGTTTTATTCAGTACGTTCATTTGACAAAGGGGGAAACTGAGGTTCAGAGGTGTGATGTGATTTGTCCAGGGGCATCCAGGTAATGAGAGAACTGACCTGACTTCGAATGCTCTGTCTCACCACGTGTTTTCCTGAAGTTAGGTTAGTTCCTCTGAACCACAGTATGAAGTTGTATTTCTAACCTTGGGTACATGTGGTTTCTAGAAACCAATTATTATAGAATGAACATTAGATAAACCTATTTCGGAAACAACTAGAATTAAGATAAGACATGCCTAATCCTTTCTGCTTGGGGAAATCCAAGCCTAATATCCACAGAGACCTTTTATAACCTCCTCAAAGTTGTCCCAGAGATGAGTCTGCTAACACTGGGCTGAATGTACTTGGCTCAGTGGAGAGCCCTGGACAATTCAGACACAGAAGAGGGAGAGCAGACAGGCGCCTCCATGGCGCTGCTGGAGCTAAAAAGTTATTTATATTTCCCCAGTGGAGTTTTCACATTAAGCGTTGATACTCAGAGTGAATTGAAAGGACATTCTAATGGCAAAATCAATGTTAGATTAAGCAGTCATTGACAGTACTTAAGTATTAAAAAGTGAAGTATTTAACTGTCCCTAGGCATTTAAGTTTCTTTAAATCTTGCTTCTGGTATATATTATCAAAAGAGTGGCCCTTAAATCCCCAAACTTAACTGCTGTAATAACAAGTCCTATTATAAAAACATAGTTTGATAATAAATAAATCTCTGGATAAATTAGCTGTGGATACTAAGTTGGCCTTTTGGACTTAGGAGGGTTTTTACCCAAAAGCGTCCCTGTCTCTTGGTGACAGCACAGGTTCCCTGCCCTAGTCAGTTCTGCCTGCTGTAACAAAAATATCAGAGACTGGGTGGCTGAGACAACAAACATCTGTTCTGGAGACTGGGAGTCCAAGATCAAGCCACTGGCAGATTCGATGTCTGGTGAGAACTTCCTTGTTCACAGATGTCTTCTCGCTCTTTTCTCACTTGGTGGAAGGGGCGACAGGGCTCTGTGGGGTCTCTCTGATCAGGGCACTGATCCCATTCATCAGAGCTTCAGCCTTGTGACCGAGGCACCCTCAAGGCCCCACCTCCTAAGGCCACCTTGGGGGGTTTCAGTACTGGCAAGGGGTGGGGGGAGGGGAGGGAGACACAAACCTATTGTCTGTTACACAGATAATGGTGGAGGCAGTAGGCTATGTCCTCATGTTGCATTTATACAGTGGTTTCCATTATATTGATATCATCACTGGAAACCTACACTTAGCATTTAGAAAATGTTGAAGACTGGTACAGATGTTGATACAACTTGAGAGAGTGAAAAATTCTTGTAGCCAGAACCCCACTTTATAATAAAGTATATGCAAGGGGCAGGAAGAGTCTTTCAACCCCTTGCAACATTTTGTCTTCAGAAACTGTGATGCTTCTTTTCCTAGAGTTCCTGGACTAGGAGCTGTCTGTCTGTCTGAGTTGTCCAGGAGGGCACATGACTGCTGAAGGTCTGTCTGAGAGTGGAGTTGCTGTTTTTGAGGTCTTATTTGACTCTGGGAATTTGCAACACTAACGAATAGTAAAGATTTCCATTAGCCCTGACCTCTAATGCATTATTTAAAACACAAAATGCTACCTTAAGAGGGAGTCATAAGATTCATGTGCTGAATCATGTTCCATATTGATAATGCCAAGGACACAAAGGGGTGAACACACTCTCAGAGGTCACAGTTCATTCGGAGTTTATTCTATCGTGTATGGGTGTTTGGGGGATTACTATTGTGTTTCCTGTTGAAAAACAGACAAACTGTATGTTATTTTAAATCTTAACTGATTTTTATTATAAATATACTTCATGCTCATTTGAAAAAATCCTAACAGTACAGAAATGTAAGATTTAAAAAAAGCAAAAAGCCCCCAAATAAAAATCACCAGTAATCTGTTTCCTCCCTTCCAAAAAATGTCCATTGTTAACAGTTTGGATATTTTTCTTAATTTGTTTCTCTTATATATCCACTTAAAAATATTCCTTCTCATATTCCTTCTGTCTCTCCCACCTGCTACCTTCCTTCCCATTTATCTATATTCTTACGTACACATGCACCTCCCCCCACCCCGGAAATGCAATTGTGTCTGTCTTCTACAATGTTCCAGTTTGCTCTTTTCACTTACTGGTGAATTTTGGCCCTTCTCTCCACCACTCCTTCATACAGATCCATCCTGTTTTTTGTAATGACTGTCCAGTGTTCTGTTATTTTCTTTTTAGAAGGACTATAAATTATTTCCCCAACCCCCTTTCCACTTATTCCCAAATTCCTATTGAAAAACATTTGGACTCTTTCCCGTTTTTTGCTCTTGCAGACAGTGAGCAACGTGAATTTTAATTCCAAGCATTCTGAAGCTTTCTGCCAATTGTCCAGTTGACTGATATTTTGGTCTCTTAAAACATGGAGCACTGTTCTTTGGACAGAGTCCTAAGCAGAGCCTCAGTGCAGAGAGCAAGATAGCAGTGGGGTTTTGGGTGGGCCTGTGGGAGGCTGCCAGCCCCTGACTTATCCTCAAGAGCTAGAGGAGGCCTCAGAGCACAGGCTGAGGCCTTTTAAATCCTTGAGAACAATCCATGCGGGTGGAGTTGCCTGGAGAGCTTGAACCCTGAAGTACAATTCACTACATGAAGTGGCTAAGAAGAGAGGAACCTTACCAGCACATGGCTGTGGGTTGCAGAGCAGCACCCCAGACCCCAGAAGTGTGCACCACCCATAATGCCTCACCTTATGTGGGCAAGGAGGGTGGATATCCCACAGAGCAGCAGGGATGTTAGAGCTCCCAGCAGTAGGGTGCTTCCCTGCTCCCGGCCCCCGCTGCCCTGCTCTGGGAAAGTAGGAAGGGGGCCCTTGGAAAGGCCCTTTGACCTGTCAACCTTATGGCCCCACTTCCGGTTTTGTGCATTTCTATGATGGGAAATTTTACAACCAATTTGTATTTTACCTTTGTATGCTAGAGAAAAATTATTTTTAGAAATTTAGAATTCCAAAATAGTAACCTAGCAGTATGTGAAAGATCCCGGGTTCCTTCACCCTCAGCCACCTCTCCTATATCACACATAACAGTTTGGCATTATCTTACCTCACTTTTATGCATCTGCAAAAGTGTATACACTTTTTTCTTGCAAAGATAGGATCCTGCTGTATGTATGTACACAGCTGTATAGGGTATTGTACTTAATATATCATGTCTTTGTACATCAAAGTACCAGCTGCATCTTGTTGTCTTTATTTGCTACACATTTCCACCATGTGGCAGTGCGGCAATTTCCTTTACTAGTCCCTTATTTTTGCGTGGTTTTCAGTTTTTCTCGTACTGAGCTTAGCGGGGATGTAAAGGTAACTTCATCTGATTGTCTCACTTATTTATAGTAGCTAGGCAGCACAGGTAATCCAAACTCAGTTTACCTGGTGGCTTCAGCTGAACTCTTGTTTGCAGATTCCATTCACATCTCACCTCCTCCCTGGGTTTGCTAGTGACATATATTTTGGTGACCACTCTGTAATTTTAGTGGCTCTATGTTTTGGTTGGGTTTGATTTCTCCATGTCCTTGCAGAGGTTTCTGGAATATGGTGCTACTGTGGTGTTCTGCAGACCCTTTGAAATTGCCCAGATTGAAACACAGGCGAGCTTGCAGTGTCAGGTGGAAAATGATCCTAAGTTCTGTGATAATTGCCTGATAAGCATCCCTGGCTCTTTGCTGCTACGTATAATGGAATGATGAGGCAGCCCGCTCCAGTGGACTCCTTGCTGCTGGCTGCTTCTGTTTGCTTCTGGCTGAATGTTCAGAGAGTAAATTGTTCAGAGCTCATCATTCACTGTGAAAAAGTCAGATTCTGCCTGTATCTGCAGCCTATAGGACAATGGTTTTTAAACCTGTTGAATTACAAAAATTCGCTAGAGAAGCTGGTTTAAAAAAATTGACCAAATGGTTAAGATGGTAAATTTTGTCATGTGTATTTTACTGCCCAAAAGAAAGCAGATGATCTAGATTCCACTTAGTAGCTATAAAAAAAAATGAAGATGTACTTTATGTGCAGTCATGGAATCCTCTCCAAGCCATGCTGGGAGGCAGGCAGGGAGGGAGTTGCAGCATGATGTCTGTTATATGTTAACTTGGCATAAAAAGAAGGAAACAGTAACAAGAAAATCTAGTTGCCGCTCTACACTTGAAAATGAAGCTGCAGATAGCATTCTTTGCCTCTGGGAAGGGTAACCAGATGGTGGGAGCAGGAGTGAAACAGAGCATTACCTTTGGAGTTTTTAATCATGGAACTCTTACCTAGTCATAGGTAAAAGTTTTTAGAAGTTAGATATCTAGGATGTTAACTCTATCAGTACAACAGTTAAGGTGGAGCCTGGGAACCCATAATATTTTTAAAATAGCAGTTTTACTGAGATAATGATTAATTCTATGCCATAATCCATCCTTTCCATTGAACGTACAGGTCAGTGGCTTTTAGGACGTTCACACAATTGTGCAGTCATCATCACTAGTTCTAAAACATTTTCTTCACCTCAGAGGGAAACTCCAGACCCTTTAAGGAGTCACTCCCCATTTCCCCTCCCCCAAGCTCCCGGCAGCCACCGATGTACTACTTGTTTCTATGAATTTTCCTAGTCTGGTTATTCCATATAAATGCAGTCTTCCACTATAGGTCTTTTATGACTGATTCATTTAGTGTAATGATTCAAGATTTATCCATATAGGTATATATGTACATGCTGTCCCTGTAGAATTGGAGGAACTGGCCCAGTGGTCTGCAAAGTGGCCATACATGTTACATTCCCATCAGCAATGTGCGGGGGCATGGGAACCTGTACTTTTACCAAAGATTCTGATGACTGTTATGATAAAGCCATTGTGGAAAATGGTGACTCAGAGCAGTGCAGTCCCTCTTGCTATGAATGCAGGGACAGTGGTGGTGTTGGTGTGCCACCCAGAACCTGGCAGTGCTGAAGGACATGCTGATTGCTGTATGGAAAACGACAACAGTGCTGCGCTGGGACGGAGTCAGCACCCCCAGGAGAAGGACCTCACACAGTATGGATTCTGGAGTGGGGCTGGCCAGGCCTGAGTGGAGTCTTTTGTGTTGGTGGTGTTTTCTTTAAGGTGGGATCAGGCAAGAAACCTGGTTGTCCCATGAAACCTCACAAGAGTCAGATGGGGGAAGGCGTAGTGTAGGGAAGGGAAGCTGGTGCATAGGCTTGCTTTTTCCTTCCCCCAGTGGAACAAACGTAATAGTTTTTATGAAGTGGAATTTGGTTTCTACCTTTTCTACTTTAAAAAGAAAACTTATCTAATCCATTTTATCTTGAATCATCTTCCATAGCTTTTAATAGCCAGAAAAGTGTTACATGATAGTGACATAATTATTCTGAACTCTGAATTATGAGGAAAAACTGTTTCCATATACAGTAGGATCTGAGTTCTAACTACTAGGACAGAACCGAGAGGTCTCCCAGACAAGCCTATATCTGTGGGGCAAGTCCTCTGAGGATAGAAATTAAAATCTACTTCAGAACGCTTTGGAACACTGCCTGCGCCGGCCCTTAAATAACTGTTCACTTTAGCTGCCCCGTCAGGAAGGGAACTGAGTGGGGCAGGGCGCTTGGCACAGAGCTTCTTCCCCTTTAATGAGCAATAATAAATGGGCGCTTTTCTTGGGGCCACTTGGTAACAAATACATAAATAGAATAAATGGTCTTTCAAGTTCTGAGCATTTCAGTTTCTGCTGAGAGAAGCTCTTTGCCTTATTTCATTAAAGACTTTATGTTTTCACTGAAAAATGGCCTGTAGAACTGTAGGGGCAGGTGCAGTACTGTTTCTTTATTTTGTATTGCGGTTAAGTAAAAATTACATAAATGTTGCCATTGTAACCATTACTTTTTTTGGTATTATTAATATAAAATCACATGGGCAACATTGTGGGGACTAGATTCCCCCCATTATCAAGTCCCCACCATATACCCCATTACAGTTACTGTCCATCAGTGTAGTAAGATGCTGTAGAATCACTACTTGTCTTCTCTGTGCTATACTACTTTCCCGTGCCTGCCCCCCTACATTACGTGTGCTAATTGTAATGCCCTTTTTCCCCCATATCCTTCCCTTCTCACCCATCCTCCCTTGTCCCTTTCCCTTTGGTAACTGTTAGTCCATTCTTGGGTTCTGTGAGTCTGCTGCTGTTTTGTTCCTTCAGTTTTGCTTTGTTCTTATACTCCACAGATGAGTGAAATCATTTGGTACTTGTCTTTCTCCGCCTGGCTTATTTCACTGAGCATAATACCCTCTAGCTCCCCATGTTGTTGCAAATGGTAGGATTTGTTTTCTTCTTTTTTTTTATTTTGGTATCATTAATCTACAGTTACAGAAAGAACATTATGTTTACTTGGTTCTCCCCTTCACAAAGTCCCCCCAACAGACCCCTTCAGTCACTGTCCATCTGCGTAGTAAGATGCTGTAAAATCACTACTTGTCTTCTCTGTGTTGCACAGCCCTCCCCGTGTCTCCCACGCACTATACATGCTAATCATAATGCCCTCTTTCTTTTTTCCCTGCCCTTATCCCTCCCTTCCCACCCATCCTCCCCAGTCCCTTTTCCTTTGGGAACTATTAGTCCATTCTTGGGTTCTGTGATTCTGCTGCTGTTTTGTTCCTTCAGTTTTCCTTTGTTCTTATGCTTCACATATGAGTGAAATCATTTGGTACTTGTCCTTCTCCACTTGGCTTATTTCACTGAGCATAATACCCTCTAGCTCCATCCATGTTGTTGCTGATAGGATCTGTTTTCTTCTTATGGCTGAATAATATTCCATTGTGTATATGTACCACATCTTCTTTATCCATTCATCTACTGATGGACACTTAGGTTGCTTCCATTTCTTGGCTATTGTAATAGTGCTGCAATCAACATAGAGGTGCATATGTCTTTTTCAAACTGGGCTCCTGCATTCTTAGGGTAAATTCCTAGGAGTGGAATTCCTGGGTGAAATGGTATTTCTGTTTTTAGTTTTTTGAGGAACCTCCATACTGCTTTCCACAATGGTTGAACTAAATTACATTCCCACCAGCAGTGTAGGAGGATTCCCCTTTCTCCACATCCTTGCCAGCATTTGTTGTTGTTTTTCTTTTGGATGGTGGCCATCCTAACTGATGTGAGGTGATATCTCATTGTGGTTTTAATTTGCATTTCTCTGATGATTAGCGATGTGGAGTATCTTCATGTGCCTGTTGCCATCTGAATTTCTTCTTTGGAGAAGTGTTCAGATCCTGTGCCCATTTTTTTTTTTTT